GATAGTTACTTATAATAGTCAGAATTTATAGTTAGGTAAGTTAGGTTTTCTAGATATACAGAAATATATTTGACATAAACAGTCTTCAAACCTCTCAAAGACCTTCAGAAAATGGCATTTAAAATGGTTTAGTGTTTTTCTTGACAATGAGAAATGTCTGCTCCTGGCAGCACCAATTACGTCTGAGAGGAAGATGGGCATCAAAGAAACTTGTTATGGAGTTTGCTTTCAACATGGCAAGATTAGCCATTTGTGCAAGAAACTGCTCTTGCCTGTACTGCTTGACTGTTGCTGTATAATCTGGACATGCAGGACCCACAGGAAAGTGACTGCTGAACTCAGGGTTCCTGCTTCATGGAAGAGTCTACCAGACTTTCTACAGGACAAAGAAAAATGACTGACAGACTGCCAGCGCAGATGGACAGTTTGAAATTTCCTGCTTTGCTGAGAAGTATTCCAGACACATTGTGGCCTATGGGCTGAAGATGGATGCCCCAACATTACAGAGGAACTTCGGGTGACTGTCCAGGCAGTAAGATACCTCTGTCAATCCTAGTGTTTATATATTATCCTTCTGTGGTCTTTGATGGAATTGAAGACAGATAGTTATAATTATAGTTTTCCTTAGTTATGATAAAAGATAAGCTACATATAGGACTTTGGACTCGCAAGGATGGGATGGATGATATTTTCTTTAGATCTTGCTAAATGTTAATAGACAAAATGTTGTAACTGTGTTCTTACTTGATAACTGTTCTGTCATATACAATTTGACTATGTTAAAGTTAAGACCTTTCTTTTTGTTTAAGCAGAAAAGAGGAGATGTTGGGGAAGTCCTGTGTATATGTCAATAAAGCACTGTCTGGCCAATAGGAATCTAGATAGGTGGGGCTAGGAATCCAGGAGGATTCTGGGAAGGAGAAACACAGGAGAGTTTGAGATGTAACCACCATGGGGTAGGAAGCCCGGAACTATTCTCCGGTAAGAGAAATACTTAGATTAACAATTATGGGGTAATTACTTAAGTCAGAGGTAGCCAGTAAGAAACAAGCAAGGCCAACAGCTTCATAATTAATACAGTGTCTTGTGTGTTATTTGGGGACTGCAATGCAGCAGAGCCCAGGCGACCGGCGGGTGATAAACCAAAGCGGCTAGCAAAGAAAAAGCTTCTCTTAACAGAAAGGGGGGAGCTGGGATTGACATTTGAAGCATGCATGTTTCTAATTTAAATAAAAAAAAAGAAAAACAGTGTGATGGCTACCTTTAATCATTTACTTAATTAAACACAACCAAGAATTCTCCGGGAACAGAGTCTCAGTGAAGGGTTGTGGGAAAGTCAGGTAGGAACTTCAAACAGCTGTTCACATTATATTCACAGTAAAGAGCACACAGAAATTAATAAATACATCTAAATTTGCTTGCCTGTGCTCCTTGTGTTTTTTCATTCTGGCATTGTTCATGACCCACTGCCTAGGGGATGGTAGTACCCACAGTGGGCTGACTCTTTCCACAACAACTAGTTTAAGACTGTCCTCCAAAGACATGAGGCATTTCTATTTGGGTTCAAATGTGAAAGATACAATGTTTTACAAATACAAATGTTCTTGTGAAAAGTGGTGTTGGTGTCATTTTCCAGTATGGATTTCTTTTCCTGTGAGAGAATTGGTAAGAACCTGAAAGATCAGAGAAGAATGGATTTCTTGAGAGTATTAATTATTACTAATTATTAGTAGTACAGTGATCATTTTCTATTACTGGAAGAAGTCTGAAATGGATTTCACTGTGGTACAATGATCAGTGTCTATTATTGGAAAGCTCAGTATTTTACTAAAGGGAGTAAAGAAAGAACAGGAAGAAGTAATACTTCTATATGAGAAATTTTCACTCATTAAAAAAGTCAAGTAAACAAACAACAAACAAAAATAAAATCAGACCAAAACAAACAAATACACAAAAAGTATGAACTGGTCAAACATCTGGTCAGTGCTGCTTCCTTATGAAGACTTCTGTGACTGGTTGGCATATGACAGGGTGGGAATTATTTTGTACCTTTGGGGAAGGCTGTTAACCTTTTGTGTTTCAGATTCTTTATCTGCAAAGTTGGGGCAATGGCTTCCTTTATAGAATAGACAGAGCCTTAAGTGGGATAGGGTCTTTAGAAACAGAAAGACCTCAATAGTTGTTTGTAGCATGTACTCTTTTTCACCAACTCCCTGGGTTCTACTGCTGTCTCTGGCCCCAAATAACACATGAGACACTTTATTAATTATGAAGCTGTTGGACATTTGCTATGGTTTCTTAGTGGTTAGCTCTGACTTAATTATTAACCCATAATTACTAATATATATTTTCATAAGTTCTTATCTTACCAAGGATGCAGCCTCATGTGTCCTCTCTTCCCAGGATCACATGGCAACTCTCCTCTCTTGACTACATTTCCCAGAATCCTCCTTGACTCCTAGTCCCACCTATCTTGCTTCCCTATTAGCCAACAGTGTTTTGTTTATCAACCAACCAGGCAAATATATACACAGTTGTTAAACATTGTTGTTTAACTTTGATAATGAATTATATGATATGATAATAATTTGGACATATATTAAATAGCAAGATAATGAATTGAAATTCAATATGCAAAAGCTACTTAAAGAGAACTGGTCTCTGAACAGTTTAAGAAAATGGAATTATGTGTGACTTAAGAAAACCAAAGGTACCACTTAAAAGCAAATTTATAACCTGGGTGTGATTGCATATGCCTGCAATTGCTGTACCAATTTTAAAATGTTAATTTATTGTGTTTCTGGACATGATATGCACATTCATAAAACCACGATTTAGTATAGAAGAAACAACAGTAAAATATTTTCTCCTATGGGATGAGAAACATACAAGCACAATGGAAAGTACTTGCTTAGCCAGTATTTTAAAAAGAAAGAAAGAAAGAAAGACAGGAAGGAAATAAGGAAGGAAGGAAGGAAAGAAGGAAGGAAGGAAGGAAGAAAGAAAGAGAGAGAGAGAGAGAAAGAAAGAAAGAAAGAAAGAAAGAAAGAAAGAAAGAAAGAAAGAAAGAAGAGAAGAATGTTTTACTCTTCTAAATCCAGTCTAAGTCACTGAATTGTAAGTAAAATTTTAAAGTCTTATAAGGGCTTATGAAGTTAATAAGTGAAGGTTTCAGAAAATTCTGATTAAGAATTGTATTTGTCAAGAGTGATTACTTGATTGAAGTCACTTAAGTAGAGAGACATGTGCCTTATAAATGATGTACTGTGCTCATTTCTGGGAACTATGGGATCACTTGGCTGGGTATTAATATTTTACCTTATAAAGCATCTTCATAGAGACACAGCATGCCTATCTATCTTGCCCCCTGGCCCCACTACTGCTTCCAGAAACATCTTAGTCTTCCCTCATCCATCTTCCAAGACTCACCAATGCCATTGTATCTGGTTGGCTCTTTGTTGCTGACAACCCATAGGGTCTTGGGTCAGCCACATTATCCCATCAACATCACCTGCAGGCCTTCTTACTCATTTTCTATAGGTTATTATCTAGATGATGGGCACTGGAATTCATGGGCACACTCTTGAATTGGCTGAGAAATACCAGAATGCCTGGAATGTATTGAGAATATCAAACCAGACTAACCCCAATGGGAAGAGTAGCCCTTCGAACATCAGCAGCTCTGGAGATGAGCCCGAAGCAGCATTTGGTGTCTGTATGTCTCTAAGTCTTTGACACCCATCTCAGAAGCTTCATGAAGAATCACTTAGATAATAAGGAGCTGAAATTCATCAGGAAAATGAGTGGCCAGATTACCAAGCTCTGCAGGCTAGAGAAATCCCACCTAGACTAGTGTGCTCACCTTCAAGTGGGACTAGAAACATTGTCCTTTTCACTCCTACAAGAGGAAAGAAAAACTAATTTACTTAATAGTGGAATTACTAAGTAAACATACAATCAAGTGAACAGTTAATGAATAAAAATGTCTTCTTTTGCATTTGTTTTAATTAGGATACATCATATATTTTTATTGATTTTTGGATAGTTTAAAAATACATTACACATAGAGAATTCCCCACCTCCAGAAATTTGGCACTATGATGCATAATTACTGTAGTTATTATCTATAAGTTAAAATGTGCTTTTCTGTCTAGTTTTATTGGTGATGGGACACTCACAATGATTGCAGATGTGGGTAAATGGCTCAGTAAAAAGAGGTCGTAATTCAGTATCTTCTTTCAGACTAAGTAAGGTCACAACCACAGTCTTCCATAAAGCTCTGACATGAAAGTAGATATAGCATGTTCCAACCAGATCTTTGGGAGGAACTGTTCTCTCATTATGCAGTCTGATAAATCACTCATCAGGACACACTTCTGTAGTTCTACAAAGTCTATATGATAAAACCCAAGAGTCTTATGTTGTGATGAAATAGCGATAATGTAGTTTGATTAACCAGGACACAGAGAGTAGTTTAACAGTAGTTTGGTGGGAGTACTTTTTTGACTAAAACCTTTCCAGACCAAGAAACTCAAGATTTCTTATCTTGTTTTGTTGTGTTTTCTTAAATATTTACAAATATTCCCTTAGGGCTATAACTTTATTCAAAATAGCCACTATACACACTTAAAGAGCATGGAAAGTATTAGATGGTAGTGGTTCCAAGGTTAAGAGCCCTGGCTGCTCTTCTAGATGATCTGGGTTCAATTCCATGCACCAACAGGGTGACTCACAAAACTCTGTAACTCCAGTCCAGAGGATTCAGCACTCTCTTCTGACCATTAGGCATGTATTCGGTGCAGGAAAAATATCCATAAAATAATAATGTTTTAAAGAGAGCTGAGGGTTTGCTGAGTGATTAGGTACTTGCCATGAAAGCCTAAGGACAGGAATTGGGATTTGCAAAATGCAGGTAAATACCTGGTGAACATAGAAGCCTGTCTGTATTTCCATCCTTTAAGACAGAGGCAGGGGTCCCAACAGCAACCTGACTAGTAAGGTAAGAGCATATCTGAGAGTTCTTTATTTGACCAAGAGTCTGTCTTATTTAGTAAGGTGAAATTATTGAGGATGGCTCTTAACATCAACTTCAGCATCTGTATGAGTGCACAGATAAATGCATGAGCACAGACACACATGTATGCATGCACATGCAAACATACATATACACAAAATGAAAAAGTGAATTTAAAAAATGGATGTTAAATAAGTTAGAAGTTCCAGGCAACAAAGATATGCATTCAGTAATAGAAGATGATTTCCTACTAGATACCAGTCTTGGAGGCAATCCAGTCACGGTAGGCAGTCACTCTCATATAGACCCCTGGCTTGTTGATTTGACCACATTCATGTCCCCAGCTCACTATTCCAACAAGGTACCAAATATCTCTAGAATTGGGGTGAACCAGTGGTCCTCCAGAGTCACCCTAAATAAAGCAAAGTACATTTATCAGTTTGACAGGCTCATGTCAGAAAGTTTAGCTATATGCAATGATGTTCTTGATGAAGTTGTGAATCATCGATGCTTCATCAAGATCGTCAAGAGTCATGTGGTACAAATCCTGTACATTCCTAACCTCAATTAATACTGACCAAAATGTATTCTCTGTTTCTCTTTTGTGAGTATGATAATTTGAAAGCATAACCTGGGAAATCACAAAGTAGTTCTTGAGAAAGTCTTTAGGAATTACATTTGAGTATGCTTGAAATTCAAAGTTTTGTATCTGAAAAAAAAATAACCGGTCATGAGGGGGATAAGACAATAAAAGAAATTTGGGGATGGCCTAGCAATACTAAAATATCTCTGAGACTTATCCTTTTCTGATGTATGGTTAAGAGGATGTACTCTGATTTGAGACAACCCAGAATGTAGGTGTACAATCCTACCATCTAGTAGCTGTTTGATAATATAAGATACTTAATGTCCCTCTGCCTCCATTTCCTTATCTATGAAATTAGGATAAAATATTTACAATATACAGTTATGGTGAGAATTGAATGATATAGCTATGGTGAGAATTAAATGAGTTAATATTTGTGAAGTACCTAGGACAGAACTCAACTCAAAGAAAGCTATCATCCGTGTTTATTGGACACTTATAGACATATGCTATCTGTAGGAAATCATCACAGTAGAGGGTCACCAACAGGACTATCAAAGCACAACTAAATAAAGAACAGATGATCTCCATAATGAACAATAGCCACTGTTGATACATTATATGGTCCTTATGAATAATTTCCAGACTTACCTGGCAAGCATCTATATTGCCTTCCATGTAACCAGCACAGAGCATTGTGTCCACTATCCTACCATTGTAAGCTTCTTCCGCATTACAAGTGTTTGTATCAATAATTTTAACAGATGCTTTCTGAAGTAACATTGGGGAGTCACCTAAAGTAAATGAACATGGTTAACATGGTCAGCAAAACAGGTGCCAAGAACCTGACCAGAATGGAAGGACACTTGCCTTTTTTTAAAGGATAAATACACACACACACACACACACACACACACACACACACACACACACACCTCTGATGGGGGATGTCCTACTATATGTTGTGAATATATGTTTCTCTTATTGTTTTGTGAATAAAGCTGTTTCATCCAGTAGATGGGCAAGATTTAGCCAGGTGGGAAATCCAAACAGGGATAGAGAAAGATAGTAGACAGAGTCAGGGAGACACCATGTAGCTGCTGAGGAAGCAAGAGACCCATGCATCACCTGTAAGCCAAGATCACATGGAGATACACAGATTAATAGAAATGTGTTAATAATTACCAGAGAACTAGCCAATAAGAATCCTGAGCCATTGATCAAAATGTTTATAATTAACATAAGCCTCTTTGTGTTTATTTGGGACTAAACGGTTGCTGGACTGGTTGGGACAGAAATTTCTGTCCACACATCTCTCTCAAACTAATGAAAAAGAAATGTCCAAAATAGTCAACTGAAACACCTTTCAAGTGTTGCCATTTTTTCTTATATCATTGATCCAGAAACTATTCCATTAGTTTTTTTCAGGACAGAGAGAGAGTTCTATACCTAAATGGTCTTCTTTGAATGTTTCAAACCAAAGCAGTCTGCAAGGACCTGTGCAATATTCCGAGAGATGGCCTGAAGAGGTTGAGCATCCAGAGATAAAATGCTGCCTGAAACTGTGTGCTCAGATTGCTGCATGCTCACATTGCCCTTACATATTACACTGTGCGCTGCCATTGGACTCACCGTTGTGTGAAAGTGCTCCCCATCCTGTAACAACGACTCCTTCACCTGGAGGGAAAATCTGCGTGGCTTCCGGAAGACAAACCCGATGTACATCGTTGTTGAATAAAACTTTTTCAGTGAGCACAACAACTGCAATGTCATCATGATGCTCCCCCTTAACATAGTTTTCGTGAATAATAACTTCTTGAACATAATGTCGCATGTAGGGTGGAGTTACTTCAGTGCCAAAGCTTATAGTTAAGTTCCTTGGATTGCTTGTTCTGAGGTAACAAAAAACAATGCTTTTGTGTTTATTTTAAAGTGACAGAAATACCGAATCTTATAGCATATAGCTATGAGTTAGAGGGAGATAAGAGATATGATGTGACAGTTTAGTAACTACATGTGCTTTAGGATCTGAAGTATAAAGTGATGAGAAATAAGACTCACGTAAGAAAAATAAGTATGTAAAATATGAGCATTGGGGGAGGGCCTAGGCCCTGCCCTGGATGAAATGACAGACTATGGACATCTCCTATGGAGGGCCTCACCCTCCCTAGGGAAAGGAGTGGGTATTGGGGGAGGAAGAGAGGGGGAGATGGTGGGAGGGCGTGGGAGGAGGGGAGAGAGAGGGAGAGGGAGCTGGGATGTAAGCAACCTTGTTTCTAATTTAAAATTAAAAAAAAAGAAAAATTTTTAAAAATGTAATGGCTCTTCCTATTTTTACAGTTAAAGTTGGAAAGACTGAGTTAGGCTTACCTGCAATCTGTTTTTAAAACCCAGACACCCATGAGGATGGAAGACAATTTGCCTGAGATAAGGGCTGCCTAGCTACTTGTGTTTCCCAAACCTTGGAGAACATGACGAACTCACTTTTGAAAGCAGTGAGCCGCTGTCAGCAGGAATCTCGCACCGATTAGTGATGCCCCACAGTAGTGTCTGCCATTCACTCTAAGACTCGCTTGCCATGGCCATTCCCCTTTCTGAGCAGTGGATCCTCCCTTGATTCTGTCGTAGGTTGCTGACATTCTTGGTCGCCTCCCGCAACCTTCAGAATGAGTTGGTTTGTGTTAGTTGAGGGTAGAAAGATGTTAATTTGATGACAGTGTAGAAGGTGAACTGGGTTTTCAGCTGTTCTGGTTTGATTACATGTGATACTGTCACCATCGGCACTGGACAGGAATAGAATCATCCATACAGGAATCACCAGCAACCCCAGGAGTCTCACACAGTAACTTTAACCCTCAGAGAATAAGTAAGTTGTGGAAAACAAAGTCTCGGTTAACTCATGGACTCTGCCTCTTCACTCCTTGAATTGGAATCTTGGCCCTATCATTTACAAGCTGGAAGAATCTGGGCAATCTTTTTGCTTCAAAACCATCATCTCTAAGATACAATTGTAATAATACTCCACTCTAGGAGTGTTCTGCAGATTGAGTAAGTGATTACTACATGTGAAATACTGCTGTGCTCCCCTGTTGTAATGATCTTGGCTGTTATGGTTTAGATTATCATATACTTATCTGGAAAGGGTCTGAACTTACGGTTGTTGATAATCTTTTTAGCATCAACCTTACTGATTTCTGAAATAGAAAAAAAAAGTACACAGTAAATTTAAGCTGGTCAATGAAGACAGCATTTTCCACAGACCAGAGAAGTCCAACAGTAATTTGGCATCCAGAACAAAGTATCATGGAAATAAAATAATTAGCTTATTGGAATTTTTCTTTTGTTACAATTGATTACAATATATTCAAGTACCATCTTCAAAATTCCACTTGAGAAATTACATTTTCATTAACTGCATCTATGTTCTACATAATCCAATGTCAAAAATTTGGACTATCTTCTCTTGAAAAAGGAGTAATTTCCATAAGTAAATCTGATTCATGTCAGTATATAAATACGATTTCTAAAAGAGAAAGTAATAGAGTTGCAGATCTAATGTTAATTTTTATACATCAAGAAAATAAAAATAAAACACCCCATCACTTAAAATGTTTGTTAAGTATATTAGTATCCACTGTAGAATAAGAAGTCATCCCTCCTTGTTCTAAGCAACTGCAATTGTAGCATTGCTAGGAAATGAATGAAAGAATGGAATGTTCTCTGATCTAAGGTGACATTCCTTTAAAATATACTAAAGATCAACTTTGTAGTTGGTGTTTATGATATGTCCTGGTCACAACATGATACAGTAACACTGCTCTTATCCAATAGGTAAGCTTACCCATGAGCTTCAGAGTCCTGGGATCTGTAGTCAGGGATTCTGATTGGTTCTCCAGCATCTGATGTAATATGCTTTCAATTCTCCTTCTAGTGTTTTCCTTGTTTGACCTGGGATCCTTGAACACCAGCCATATATTTGCAGTCACGCTATTGCTATCAGGACTGGAAATAACATAAAGTTTTCATACAGTGTGAAAACTAACACCCCCTTCTTTACCTTTCATATCTTGATTTTGTTCCCTTTTTATGAGTTTGTGCAGTAACATCACTTTAGGTAGTTTTCAGTCTGCCATATGCCTACATGCCTGTGTCAACTGAATGTATACAGCTATTCTATGCATTTTGTAAGACATGCAATTCTATAAATCTTTCAGAAACAGAAATAGCCTAATGTACCAAGAAAAGACAATCATGTGTGTGTGTGTGTGTATGCATGTGTGTGTGTGTTCATCAATGATTTATTAAGCAATTGCTATAAATGTGTAACTATGACTAAGGCACAGTTCCTACCCTCAAGGAATTGTTCAGACTTTTATGAGAGATAAAGCATGTGTAAAAAGGACTGCAACAAAAGACACAGAAACAGATACTTGGAGGAAATGTGCATAATGTTTACTTAAAGGGTTAAAAGAAAATTCATGGAAGCATTGATATTTACTGGACATTAAAGTACTTTTATTTCTATTTCATCATCAAACTGAAATTTTCATCAAGCAGAGATGGGGAAAGCCTTATCAGAGTAACCATGGAAATGATATTAATTAGCATGTATTGATTAGTGCTATGTCACAGGTACTTTGTTGTTACATTTATTGGTGAATCACTTACTACTATAGTAAGGGTATTGGTATATAACTTTATGAACAAGGACAATCTGAATACCTTAGCACTTATGTAATGTATTTAGGAGTATACCAGTACCAAAGTAGAAATTTTACTCAGTGCAAATGTGCTCTGAATTGTTTACACTATACATTGTTGCCGTATGCCTAGTTATTCAGTGTGTAGGACATTGGACTCTGATGGAGAAGGTCCCTATAGCTAGCCAGTACACAGCAATGATGGCAAAATGTATAAAACTGACCTTGAATACTACAGTGTTCAAGAAAGACTTGTACAGCTTAGGGGAAAAACTTATCAGTGGAAAGACTGAACAATGAATGTATGGATATTATTTAAGATCCCTGGGAGCAGTGTCTGGGAGGAACCTCAGTACTGTATGTACAAAGTAATTTCTGAAAGCTACTTAGCTCATGTGAATTTGTTTTATGAAGGAATACATGTCAAAGAGAAGTACACTGTCCTGTGGCCTCTTCTTCCCTTTGTCTGAACTCTTGTTACCTACAGACACCTGAATTACATGCATGTGGGGCATGTGTGAGAAAACAAAACAAAAATACACCACACATACACGCACACACACATGCACGCATGCACGCACGCACACCACTTGCACATTGCGTTCATGCAGTCACCTCTGAGAGGTACATGGGGCCTTCAGCATTAGTCTTTCATTTTGGGCCAATAGTAAAAATTAACCCAAGGTTAAGGCTAATGGGAGCCTAAATCTATCCTGCAATTCTGGGAGTCATATTAGTCCAGGAATGGGGGGGACAAAGGTGGCATTAGTGGCATTGATCAAAGTAAAAACAGTATTCACATTCATTTGAAATGTGTTTATTTGCAAATATTTCTACACACATTATCTTTTTATTGTGCATATTTGTCTATGAAGAAGACAATAAAGCTGTTGGCACTGTTATTTCATTAGACAGAGAGTCTCACATAGTAATGTGACTCTCTTGAGGGTCTGGGGCTATTAAGTTATAAAATCCAGGCTCGAGTTATCCAGTGCCTATTCTACTGCTCTCTCTGCTACTCTTTGCTACTCTAAACCCAAGTGCAGGGCACACATAATTTTTTTGTGTATATAGAAGCCTTTTGTGACATTGAAGCCTGGTATATATTTAATTTATTCTACCCCACTTAAGAAGAACCCTAAGAACACTTCAAATGACATTTGGCTGATTTTCAAATAGAAAGACAGGAGAAAATAAAATCTACATTTCTGGTGCTCAATAATAAAACCAATAGAGGATGAAACATTTGACTTAGTGACCATCTAATGGTTTCTCGATACAAATATTTCAGAAATGAGGATAAGTCAAATGTAATTTAAGCACAAATATATTCCCTTAAACCTAATAACCTCCACCATATAATTTCAATGTTTGCTTTAGTTTTCTGTTGAACAATTATGCTGATAGGTATGATAATACTGATACTTAATCATTGTTTGCAATTAGAATGTTTTAGATTCAACTTCCCTGGAACACTTGAAGTATAATAACTTTATCTCTTTTCCTGATGATTAATGATAGTCACTTACACCAATGTGATGATCTGAGAGCTGATATATTGTCTGTAAATGTTAGAATTTTGAAAGGCATCAGCCATCTGTTGAGAGACATCATAGAAGTTAAACATCATACTTCAATAATATGTTTATATTCAAGCAGTTAACAAATGCAGGAAAATATAACTTACTTTAGTCTCGAGGATTTTACTGAGGTAGTTACTTTCTGGTGATGTCTCCCTCTCATAATTTCTGTCATATGGAATATTCAATACTTTAAAACTACCTTGATAGTAGTAGATCTTGTCTTCTGTGAGATGAAAATGATCCAAGAACTAATTAAATTATACGTACTTCAAATCAGGACATAGATTTCATAGCAACACAAAGCAGGATGCACTGTGCTCATTAGATATTGATAGACCCTTGTGAATATTTTTGGAACAAATAAGGAGATAACCTCTACATTTTAAAAAGTGGTTTTAAAACTAATATTAGAAAAACAGATATATGACAGACAAACAGATAAGTAGATAGATATATGGTAGAGAAAATTACAAAGAATAACATTTTTAATCTTTATATGCACACACATGAATGATTTGTGTGTATGGTGTACACATGTGTGTGCATGTTTGTATGTATGAGCTGAGGAATGCAAGTGTCACTACATATGTGTGAAAGTCAGAGGACAACCTTTGGTGTTGTTTGAGACAGGGTCTCTCTTGTTTGCTACTGTGTGTGCCTGGGTAGCCATCTTATAAGCTTCAAAGGTTCTCTTGCATCTAGCCCCCATCTTTCCACATGAGTACTATGATTACAGATGTGCACTACTGAACCTGACTTTACTTGGGATCTGAAGTCTGAACCCAGTCCTCATAACAGGATGCAAGTTCCTTACCCACTGAGCAATCTCCCCAGCTGTAAGAGTAGGATCTTGCTTGAGACAGAAATAACTATATACTACAGTGGTTTCTATTTAGTGCAACCAGTTGTCAGATCATAGTTTTTAAAATTTATTGTTCATTAAGTATTACTACTGGATGGTACTATAGAAAAATCTTAAGAAGCATACCAATTTTTCAAGGGAAATACAGTCTCACAGCAATCAGGTAATTTTCATAATGCTATATATCTATTAAAAAGAGCCAAGAATAAAACCTCAGTAATCTGACTTGAAGGCCTACATTCAACACATTATACTCCATTCCTCAATTTTCACACAGATATTAATTATATATATATATATATACATATATGTGTGTGTGTCTGTCTTCTGTATGTTATGAATATATGTCTCACTTATTGGTTGATGAAAATAAAGATGTTTCAGTCAATGGACAGGCAGGATGTAGCCAGGCAGGAAGAATAGCCAGGGCTGCCAGACTAGGAGAATTTTGGGAAGAGGAACGGAGAGAATGAGTCTCAGGCAAGATACCATGTAGCTGCATAGGAAGCAAGGGGGTCTGGCATCACTGGTAAATGAAGACTATGTGGAGATACACAAATTAATAGAATGGGTTAATAATTAAAAGAGAGCTAGGCTATGAGAAGCCTGAGCTATTGGCCAAACAGTTTATAGTTAATATAAGCCTCTGTGTGTTTATTTGGGACTAAATGGCTGTGGGACCAGGTGGGACAGAACTTGAATTTACAATATATCATATCTTATATATAATATAAATGTCAGAAGATATTTGCTATTTTGAAAGGATAATCCCTAGTAAGAATGGTAAAAATCAACGAAATAAATGGCAACAAATGCTAGTGAGGCTTAAAGGAAAAAGGAACCCCCATTCACTGTTGAAAATTGGCCCAGTAGCTCTGGAAATCAGTAAAGAAAGTCCCCAAAAAGCTAAAAGTTAATCTATGACATGACCCAGCTTGACCACTCCTTGGCATATGCCCAAAGGACTCGACATCCTATTCCACAGGAACTTGCAAAGCAGTGTTCGCCGCTGTATTCACAATAGCTAAGAAATGGAAATAGCCTAACTGTCTTTCAACAGATGAATAGATGATGAAACTGTGGTGCATGTGCACAACGGAATAGTATTCCACTCTAAATAAAAATCAGAGTGTGAAATTTTCAGATAAAGGGATAGAGCTAGGAAATACATTGAGCGAGGTAACCCAGACAGACAAGAAGAACAAAAGGCTGTATGTTCTCTCTCATCTGCAGTTCCTGACTCCAAAACTGCAGATGTGAGTATACAACATAGAGCAACCACAGACACTAGACAAGCATAGCTATGACCTCCCCCATCTCCCATCAAAGAAGCTTCCCTTTGCAAGAGATGGAGATCATCATAGAAAAGCACAATTGAATAAAATGGAGAGATCAAAAGAACATGTAAGGGTCAGTCTGAATGTATACATCTGTATCACAGCTCCACCATCTATGGCTCAGAGAACATCATGGAATAGAATATGGAAACATTGTAAAAGCCAGAATATAAGGAGGTTTACTGTGAAACAGTCTTAGAAATGGTTGCATACAGGTCTACATCAGATGGGATCCCACAGAAGAAAGGAGAAGTAGACACATACTCCCATCCCTAACCCAGAAACTATCTCCAGTTGCAACTGAAAATTTAGTTTCCTCCAAGGGAATATAACTAGGGAAACATCACTCTTAAGGGTAGGTCCAGAAGTAGATAGCTAACACAAAATGAACTCAACAGCATCGTTGGAGGCTCCTTGTCTTATAATCTTAAGTCAAGCCTTTGTATTTTTAACCTTAAGAGACTTTACACATATATTACGACTTCTGGTTTCGTGTTTTTATGGAATTTCATGTGTGAACATGTGTGACTTTGCTTCTCTATCTAGACACTTTGTACTTTTTCTTTGGCTCTTTTCTTACTTGTTTTATTTTATTCATTTAATTAGCATTCATTAAGTGTCTATTTGTTTTCTAATTAAACAAAATGTATTGTATGAAAAATCTATTCAGGGAGAGGGCCTAGACTCTACTCCAAATGATGTGACAGTCTTTGAAGATCTCCTATGGAAGGTCTCACCCTCCCTGGGTCAGTGGGGGGCAGGGGAGGAGAGGAGGGAGAGGGAAATGGGATTGACATGTAAAACAAGATTGTTTGTAATTTAAATAAAAAAGAGAGGATAAAAAAGAAAAATCTATTTCCAATGAAAGGAAAGAAAAACTGGTGCATAAATAAAGGAGTATTAATGGACATGCTAACAAGGGGGAAATTTTACGGATTGCCAACTCTAGGCAGCAAACTAATGACCCAATACGCAAAGGTAAAGCCTGAAACAGTATGCCACATGTAGAATACTCTGTTCTTGTTCATCAGTCATCCGTTCATCTGTGTCTAAATGCATTTTCTTGCACCTGTGTGAGTGTGTGAACTGTGTCTGTAGTACAACATTTGCAAATGCTAGTGATGCTCTCTTTCAGGACCCAAGGTCCCCAATGCTGCTATAGAGGGAGATAATTCATGTGTTGCAATTGCTTCTTTATATTTCACAGAAACTGGAATAAAGACACAGCAAAAGATATAAATGTATACCAACCTACTGCCAGAAAGTGAACTAAGAGTCCAATAGTTACCCCAAGGACTGCCAGCGCTCCAAGCACACCAAGGATGATTACCCACAGTGGGAAAGTTTTGTGGGATGCTGTGACTGGTCTGTAAATGAAGGACATGAAAAATACATCAGAAAACACACATACTTTTCAGATCTAACTTTCCTCTTGCCACCTGAAAACTCCCCATGATTAGGTGCAGATGTATAAATGACATGGAAGATAAGAGGGGAGAATGGTGCAGCTCAGTGAGTTAAAAAAAAGTGTTTGCAGCTGAACCCCATGGTGTGAGTTTGATACCAGAAACCCACATGATGGAAGGGGAGAATCCAGGCTTGTGTGTTGTTCTCTAATCTTCACTTACATAGCATGGCATGTACACATAAGCCTGTGTGCTGGTACACACACACACACACACACACACACACACACACACACACAAATAAATAAATAAATAAATAAATGTAATAAAATTAAAGAAAAGAGAACATATAGTGTTTGGGAAGGAAAACACCAAGAAGAAGTGTGCGTGGCCATAGTTGAAAGAAGAGAAAAAAACGACAAGAGAGGTCAGCCAGAATAGAGACTACCGTAATTCATGGAAATGGAACAATGGGAGAAAATGAAGAATTTGAGAAAGTTTACAGACTAAAAATATTTGTCAGAAGTTGGGGACCATATTAATAAAGGGGAGGAATATGTTTTAAATGGCAGTGTAAAATAAAGCCTAGAGGAGATTGTTTGAGGATTTAAAAAGATACTTTTTTTTAAACCAGGATTTTGAAGGACTTACAGATTTCCAGTACACATCAGATATGTCATGGTGGTGATTAACTGAGGAACCACAGGGATGGAAAGGAACCTAGCAAGTATCTACATGCAGGGAGAATAGGGATTGTAAAACTGGATCTGTATGTGAGAGTGTTGCACAAAACTAGAATTTCTCTTTCCTAAGTTAACTATTTGTTTTCAATGTAACGGTGGTTAAGTTGTCACAAGTTTTTATATGCTTCCTGAATTTTCCCTTCCAAATGCTTGGGGCCCCTTAAGAGATGAGGCTGTTTCCTGGCTGACTCAAATCTTTGTTGATCCTAGTTTACCTCAGCTCACAAGCACTCAGCTCCCTCAGTGTGTTTCTTGCTGAAGGGGTTCTAGCCTCACTCCACGCCCTTTGTTTGTCTGTTTTCTGTGGACTGTTCCAAATTAGCACTTTTCTAATTATCTCTTAATTAGGGATTCATGTCCGTGTTTCTTCTTTTGATTAGTTTTGTTTAGAAAACAGTTCAGCTCAGGTTTTTGTACACTACGGAGACACTGAAATTTTCTATCTCATTTTGCCTTTATAATTTATATTCTAAATTTTTGTCTTTATAACTTACATTCTAAAAACATAAAAGGTTTTATTCCATTAAATTTTTGCCAGACAAAATTTCTTAGTGTTCATTTAGCCTTTTTGTTTGAAAGGAGAAGTCTGAAACAACTTCCTGCTCATTGATCTTATCCACTGAAGTTGCTACAAGATGCAGGATTTTACAGTTGATTCACTATCCATGTTCTGCCTTTGGTATTTCAAGTCACTGTTCAGATTTAATTTCTGAGTTTTAGCTGCCTTTCTCACATAACCCAAAGACATTACAAACAGTCTAACATAAATGATTAAATAGCCACTAACAGTCATAAGGAACCTTCTCAAGCACAAAAGAGAAAGTCTTCCAGTGTTAGCAGGGTTCTGATAGCCAGTCATATATATTAGTAAAGTCTTATAAGAGATAATTCTGGGTGATATGAAATATAAGATGTATCTTACTATTAAAAGCACTGGGCACAAACTTCTCACTGCCCTGTGCACAAGGCTCTAGAACAGATTGATTTTTTTCTCATCTATAGCCTGTGGCTAATGCTAAGAAAACATTGAACACGGTAAAAATTTGGTTCTGAAGTCTACATCTATATCTGGTGTTCCTTTCACTTCCTGTAACTGTTCATCATTCAAACACCTGCATGCATCCCAAAGTTCACCAAATCCTTCTTATGTCTCCAGCACAGTCAAGCACATCTCCTAACCCTCCCAAGCTCAGCAATACAATTGCCTCAGTATCTTACTCTGAGAAAGGGATTACAGAATTAGGGCTTGAGTCTTTCCTAGGAATCTCTTATTCTCAAAACAGTGGCTTAACCCTTTTACTTTTTTTAACTTAGGGCTTCACAGAGATGTAAACGAGTAATGGAGAAAGAATGAAATGCTCTATAAACAAAATCTACCATGCACCCAGAATAAAGTTGATAGCTATTCACAAAACAAGCAAGCAAGCAAATCCAATCATAATGCACTGTTTAAGCTTATATTTGCTTGATGACTCTTTAGTTTATATATCAGAGGTATGGAAAAAATAAAGTCATCAAAAATAACATCTTTAATACAAACCAGAATCATGCAAAAATTCTTTAAGCCAAGAAAGATGTTCTTAGTATGTTCTATCACAATTCACAGTGAGTGTATCCACTCTAGAATAACACTGGATGTTATCAATACAGATATGCCTCATGGGCTGTTTTTTACCTAAATATATAGATTTAATAACATACATTACAGAAAAATATTTATGTAAGATATACATTTACGTCTTTAAAGAGAACATCTATAAAATAGTAGTACTGTGAAATCCAAGATAATATTCATGAATGCACTGTAGGAAGTATAAGCCATTAAACAAATACTACGAGTACATGATAATTATCTGTACTAGCCACTACTTCATATTTAACTCACAAAAAAAATGTCTCTGCTGTTGCCTCTCTACTGGAAAACAGTCAGGAATTGACAGTATATTAGGCTACATGCACCTTTTTTGAAGCACCCCTCCAATCAGTGCATAACACTTCAGATTGAAAGCACAAATACATGTTTATGACAAGGTGTCTCTGAGCTGAAATTCCAAAACGCTATGGAACCACTATATATTCTCCATCCAACCACAATTATTTTGTCACAGTCTGTAAGGGAGGACTCAAATTGAGAAGAAATTCTATTTTGTCAGAATTTTAGGTGGGCAAATTACCACTTACCTATACATAGTGTGATGATACCGTGATTGCTGGTGCTAATATAGAGGGAACTTCTGAACTCCTCATGCGTTGATAGTGGTTCTCAGGTAAATGTGCTAGCTATGAGGATATTTGAGATTTTAAGGGTGGGTATAATAGCAGAATGCCATTAAAAAGAAACTTGTTTAACAGGTATGGTAACAACTGAGGATCTTCAGCTTCAAGGAAATAACAAAGATTGTCTTGGAGTAGAATACTTAGAGTAAAAACAATGGGTATAACTTGGTCATCACAAAGACCCACCCCAAAACACTACCACACATTGGTGAGTCAGTGTTCTGACTCAGGAGCTATCCATCTTTCTGCACAGAGACTCTCCCCAGAGAAACTAGCAAGCCCATCCAAGCATTCCCACAAATGACTTAATCTAAGTTGTCTTGTTTATGATAAAAACAATCCTAGGAGAGCATCAGTCATTTGAAATGCAATTTAAAATTAAAGAGTCTCATAGGAATAGTTGAATACTTTTGTAGGTCTGAAATTACAGGTGGGAAGTAGGCTTAAAGTAACAAAGCATTTCACTTTTAAGCTTCTTTGCATAGAAAATGAAATGAACTAATTAGTCATCTGAGAGCTGTTTTACTGAATGAATATATATTAAGATTTTAGTGGCACACAGAGTTTTTATGAAAACAGAGCTCAGTGAGCCATTTAGGTATTTATAGTACACATATCTTGACTCTTATGACTATTTTTGATGTGTTGAAGAACACAATTCTCTATCTGCTCACCAATTTAATAACTATTTTACTTACTTTCCAGAGTTTCAGATTGTTCCCAGAAACAGTAATGTACCAACAGGTGTGACGAAAGCCCTGTTTCACACTCTTACACACTAATGGGAAAGGTCAACAAATGTAGAATAGCAAATATGTAATTTAATATGAGATATATAGCCATGCTAAAAAGAAATAAAATGGGGTGATCAAATAGAAAGTGACAACTGGGGTGGGTTGGAGTGGTTATCTATAGAGTGCGCAGATGAACCTGGAAGACGAAGCTTTGAACAGACACCAGAATAACGATGTAATTGCTATAATGTGTTCTCCTATTACATATCAGAGACAATAGTCTAATTAATAACATGATTGCCATGTAAGCAATAGACCTGTGGTTGGGTACCCAGAACCCACAAAAAATCCAGGCGAGACTGTGGTTCCCATTCCAGTGGGACCCAAAGGACTGCAGGCTGTGGCAGATACCAGAATATTGGACCTGCTTGCACCCACCAGAAGGGAACACTGGTCTTGTACCCACCAGGAGAGGAAGAATCCTTCTGCACCCACTGGGAGAAGGGATGGGAAGGAGACAATATAAAAACACCCTCAGCAACAGAAAAACTATCATGGCACCACCAGAGTCTAGGAACTCTACACCTGCAAAACCCAAACATCCAAATGCAAATGAAGCAGACAAGAATGACCTGAAAAAAAGTCATGAAAATTATACAGGCCCTCATAGCAGCATTATTTGTAATAGCCAGAACCTGGAGCAACCTAGATGCCCCTCAACTAAAGGGTGGATAGAGAAAATGTGGTACATTTACACAATGGAGGAAAAAAAAAAACAACGAAATCTTGAAATTTGCAGGCAAATGGATGGCACTAGAAGAAACCATCTGAGCGAGGTAACCCAGTCACAAAAATGACAAACTTGGTATGTACTCACTCATATATGGATTTTAGACATAGATCAGGAGATTGCCAGTCTGTACTTCCACTGACAGAGAGTCTGGGAAACAGGAAAGAACCTAAAAGAGATATGCATGGTACCCCAGAGAAGAGGAATGAGGCAAGATCTCCTGAACAGATTGGGAACACGGTGGGGGACAGGGGGGAATGGGAGCTGGTAAGAAGAGATGGGGGAGGAGAGAGGAGAGAGTGGGTCATGGGGGAGCAAGAAGGTTGCCCTTGGGGAAGAGTAGGGGGGGAACAGGATGAGAAATACCATAATAGAGGGAGTCATTATAGGTTTGAGAAGAGATCTGGCATTAGTGAGATTTCCAGAGATCTACAAGGATGACACCAACTGGCAAACTAAGCAATAGTGGAGAGACTACTTTAAATACCCATTCCTGATAATGAACCTGACGACTGCCTTATATGCCATCCTAGAACCTTCATCCAGTGACTGATGGAAGCAGAGGCAAACACCCACAGCTAAACACTGAAGTGAACCCCTGGAACCTAGTGACAGAGAGAGAGGAATGATGAGCAAATGGGCAAAGAATGGGCTGGTGAAACCAGCAGAAACAGTTGACCTGAACAAGTGGGAGCTCTTGGACCCCAGACTGACAACTGGGAGGCCAGCATGGGACTGATCCAGACCCCCTGAATGTGAGAGTCAGTGAAGAGGCCTGGGGAACCTATGGGGCCCTGGGCAGTAGATCAGTATTTATCCCTGGCATACAAATGGTCTTCATGTGTCCATAACACAGAGGGATGCTCTCTCAGCCTGGACTCTTGGGGGAGGTCCTGCTCCCTGCCATGAACAAAATGACAGAGTCTGGATATCCCCTATGTGGAAGGGAGTGGGGAGAATGGTGCAGGAGGAGGGGAGGGAGAGGGAGCTGGGATTGACATGTGAAGCAAGCTCTTGTCTTTTAAAAATGTAATTAAAAAATAATGAAAAAATTAGAAAAAGGATTTTAAAAGTCCAGGTGCAGTAGCATGCTAGTGAATTCAATGTTAATAGGGTGGAAATGCTGGGTCCTTGGTATTGTAATTAAAACAAAAAGTGGTGGGAGAGATAAAGTTGCCATGTGACAGAGTTCAATAGAGGGATTGTTTTTTTTTGACATGGAAACTTTTTTATTTTGTGATAAAAATGTTTGCACATAAATTTCATCTTAAACTACTTGTAGAATGAAAATTTTTAAGAGCAAAACAGTATGCACTTTCCCTCCTATGTTTATAGTCAGGAACATGCAGTCATTTTCTGGTTTCTGAGTTTCTCATACAAACAGATATAATGTCACTTTTCAGGGAAATGTACACAAGGAAATTGTCATAGTACCAAAACAGTATGGGTGGGGGCCTCAGGACATAGACATGTGTCCTTTCAAACAGTCCTCATACATTCAAGGCACTGGTTCAAGTATCGGTTCTAAAATCACATTCAGTATTTATCCCTGGCATACAAATGGTCTTCGTGTGTCCATAACACAGAGGGATGCTCTCTCAGCCTGGACTCTTTGGGGAGGTCCTGCAGAGGAAAAGGTTCCTAAAAGGGAGAAAGGGGAGGAAGGGGACTGGCTTTTGGAGATGGGAACAGCAGTAGAGAAAAATGAGAGACAGAGGCACAGAGAGAGAGAGAGAGAGAGAGAGAGAGAGAGAGAGAGAGAGAGAGAGGGAGGGAGGGAGGGAGGGAGGGAGGGAGGGAGGGAGGGAGGGAGGGAGGGAGGGAGGGAGGGAGGGTGAAAAAGACAGACAGAAGGATGGGAGGTGGGCAGGGCCGGGAGAGGGAACTGGGATTGACATGTAAAACAAGCTATTTAAAATTAAAATAAAAAAATGATAAGCTCACTAAGTAGACAAGGCTGTCCTAGCAAGCACCAGACATCCAAATTGTGCACATACAAGAATCTAGGTGAAACAGTCATGCAGACATAATGAAAGTAAAAATAGGTAAATATTCAAAAAAAAGGTAACTGACTCTGTGGGAAGGAAGAGGGTCTTGGAGACATGTAAATGTGGCTTTCTGTGGTCCTTATTCACATACATTTGCATTCTGCCTCTGGATTCAACCAGAGACTGATGTGGTAAATGTTAAAGGAAAGCACCCATGTTTTTAGAAAGATCTTGAAACAGTAACAATGTATATTCAGGGTAGCTACAGTAGATTCAACTTGAAATCCCATATAAATCCCACTAGCATTTTTTCCTTGAGATAGTATCTCACTGTGTAGTACACTTATGTCTTGAACTTACCATCTTTCTGCTTCTGATCCTGAATGCTAGAAGTACAGTAGCGTGCCATTACCCTTGGTTTCACAATATGTATTTTAATTACATTTATAATCAAATTAATTTTTATAAGTTTAATTTACTGCTGGGCAGTGGTGGTACATGCCTTTAATCGCAGCACTTGGGAGGCAGAGACAAGCCGATGTCTCTGAGTTCAAAGACAGCCTTGTCTACTTAGTGAGCTTTGGGACAGTCAAGGCTGTTACATAGTGGAACCCAGTTTCGAAAAACAAAACAAACAAACAAAAATTGCTGAATTACCTTATTTTCAATATCTCTGCTCAGATCCGTGCTGGCTTGTGAAGCAGCATTTTCACAACTGTCAATGTGTGTTACTCCAGACATGTGAAAATCACCTTGATAATAGTACATCTTTCCTGTGACATAAACACTCACAGAATTTTAAAATATGAAGCAATGTCAAGTACATCTATGTTATTATCTCAGAACTACCATCAACACATGTTAGCCTTTTGGCAAACACCCAGCATTCATTCAACAACCCTTCCCTTCCTACAATAACAACTGACACTGTCCTGTAGAGTCCTGGTGGGTACCCTTGGCATACTCTTCAAAGCAGAGTGCCAGCAGCTAGAAAGGCCATCCTGAGCATGTGCTCCAACTGAAGCCTGCACACATTTCATGTACTACACTCCCAGCCTAGTGATCACTTTTAATCCTCGAAGCACTCCCGAAATCAGAAACATCTCAAGTTTCCCGACTCACTCTCCAAATGATTTGTACTCTTGTGTTTTTTTCTCTGCCCCGTTCTTCCATTCCTTTTTAAATCATTCCATGTAAATTTCATGCAATCCTTCCACCTCTGTAGACCATGGAGGTCCCTGCTTGCTATGTGTCACAAGTTCTCACATCTTCATTTTCTCCTGTCCCCAAGTACAAACCGCTTAACCTCGCATACTAGGTCACCATACTTTCAAATAGGTAAGCTTGGTGGTATTTCTTCCAGTCATAAATGTGCTTTAACCAATGAGAATGAAAATTAAATAGCACTCTACCGTGGTTAAATCCTTCTGTACACAGTTAAGATCTGTTGTTCTCATTGTTAATAAAAAACTGATTGGCCGATGGCTAGGC